CCCAAAGCCCTAATAAAAAATTAAAGTAGGTATTATTTATTGAATGTGTATAGTCTGGTGGACTCTCAATGAGTCCACATGAGAAAACTAAGGGTCAGTACCTTGTTCAACTTGTGCTATTCACAAATGGCAAAATATTTGGAAAGATACTATTTGGAAAAAATAAAAATGATAATATTTTATAGCCATTAACAATAAAAATAACCTTAAATTAATAAGACAATACTTTTTACTCCTACCTTAGTTTGTTTGTGCTGTTCTAACATAACATTGCAGACTGGGTAATTTATAATGAACACTGGCTCAGTTCTGGAGGAGGCTAAGAAGTTTAAAATCAAGGGGCCAGCATGTGGGAGGGACTTCTTCCTGTGTCATCTCATGGCAGAAGAGGAAAGAGAGGGGAAGAGAGAGAGAAAGAGGGTACCAAACTCATGCTTTCATAACGGAACTACTCTTGCAATAAGAACATTAATCCATTCAGGAGAATGGTGTCCCATCACTTCCCTTTAGGCCCCACCTTTCAACATCACAGCATTGAGGATCAAGTTTCTAACACGTGAACTTTGGGGAACACAGTTAAAACATATCACTATTAACTAAACAAAGAATAAACGTTAATATCCAGCTTTGCCAGGATTTGGGAAAAGGATTCCCTCACATTCTGTGGATAGGAGTGTAACATTGACGTAGACTTCCTGAAATTGTTCCCCATTCCTCATTTTGCATCACCTGCGATAGGAAACAGTTTCTCAGTGATAAGGGTAGGTGTGGTTGGAGGTAATGCTCAGAGTATATGGTTTGTAGAAAGCTAGGTACGTAAATAGAGAACCTGAAATGGTAATAACTACAATATATTGAGCAATTACTGTGTGCCAGGAACTTTGCACACATTATTGCAACAAAAATATGTTGTATGCAAAAATAAATAATCTCATCTTTCTTCACATAGTCTTTGTAAAGTCAGTCTTTGTTTCTGAGGCTCAGAGAGGCTAGCTGCCCACAACCACCGAGATGGTAAATACAGAGCAAGATTTTGGAAATGGATTTGTCTGATTTCACATTTTTTTCTGTCTCACTAAGTGAAAAGTACATAAATTAATATGTGACTGCTTGAAGTCCTTACTATATGGATGTTATTATCATCCTCCAAGGAAAATAGCTAAATGTGTCAAAGAATAAAGGAGGAAAAATAACCTTAGGAAAAAAATACCTGTAAATATTTTGAGCAGCATTTAAATGAGACTTCTTGGGAGAAGTAAAATTGTCCCTATTTGTAGATTCTATGATCTTATCTACAGAAAACCCTAAAGACTCCACAAAAAAACTATATAAAAACTGATAAATTGTTTTAGTAAAGTTTCAGAATATATAAATGATGTACAAAAATAAGTTGTATTTCTGTACATTAGCAACAAACTATCCGAAAAAGAAATTAAGAAAACCATCTCATTTAAGAAAATAATCCTGCCAATTGGAGCAACATGAATGATCTTGGAGGACACTATGCTAAGTGAAATATGCCAGACACAAAGTCAAATACTGCATGATCTCACTTATATGTGTAATCTCAAAAGTTGAACTCAGAAAGAGTAGAAGGATGATTATCAGGGGTTGAGTGTGGGAAAAAATGAAGATATGTAGGTTAAAGGGTACAAACTTTTGGTTATGTAAAATGAACAATTTCTACAAATCAAACATACAGCATGGGAAGTATGGTTAATAACACTGTGTCCTATACTTGAAATTTTCTAGGAGTAAATGTTAAATATTCCCACCACAAAAAAGATTAACTATGTGAGGTGATGGATTTGTTAATTAGCTTGATTGTGACCATCATTTTGTAATGTGTACATCAGAATATCACATTGTACACTTTAAATATAATTTTTATTTGTCAGTTACACCACAATAAAGCTGAAAAATACACAAGTACTTGGGAGGCTGAGACAGGAGAATCATTTGAACCTGGGAGACAGAGGTTGCAGGGAGCTGAGAACTCCAGCCTGGGCAACAGAGCGAGACTCCATCTAAAAAAAATTGCAAAATAAATGAGACTTCTTTGGGCCAAGAGGAGGAAGCTTAACTAACCTGTTATACCTGAGTGAGTAGGAACCACCAACCTCTCTAGGGAGATCCTCTATACTTTGCCACTGTGCAGTCAACCAGGCAGAATCAGGATGCACAATGTAGATTCCCTGCTCTGTCTTTTTTTACCATCCTTTGGGAATATGGAAAACTGACCATGAGCCATGCATTTTCTAATTGCTATAATGTACGTAAGAGGGATGGATGGTTCAGTCTGGGTTAAAGATATGCATCTATTATACTGTGCTATTGGCCACTTTTAACCTCTTGCTGATGTGTTGTGGAAGTACAGGGAAGGTCACCTTGGTCAGTGATGGAGAAGAGAATAATAAATCACCAGCTCAAATAGACTTTTTGGCCCAATTGAGATCTCAGAACACATTAAGGAAAGTAGCTTCCAGATAACAAGCCATGTCAAGTGAAGTGAAACTTCTTCAAGCATTCTGTCAGTTGGAACCTATTGATTTTCATAGGGACTATCAAATCAGGTCTCCTGGAATAGGAACAGGGATATTTCTATTCAGTTTGTGATGAGAATATATCTATGAGAGAGCAAAGGTGGCAGTTGGAATGTAAAAATCTTGGCCTGCTTTGTATTTTTTACCATTCAAGAATACTCTTGAAAGTCGGCATATTCTTCCAGAGTGTTCATTGCTATGATTTGATGCATTTTCTTTATTGATATAAACATTGCTGGAATTATTACAATTCTGCATTCTTCTTCATCTTTTCATTATATCAATCTTGTATAGGTTTTTTGCTGCCTTTTAGAAACAAGCACCACAATTCAGAAGCAAGCTGATGAGAGACAGAGAGAGAGACCGAGAGAGAGAGAGAGAGAGAGAGAGAGAGAGAGAGAGAGAGAGAGACAGACCATGAGCTAGAGCACTAACAGGCCTGGGTGCTGTTACACAAAAGATGAATTTACTTTGCTGGTATGCCATCTTCCCAAATTATGACATTTAACACATTAGTACTTTTATAAACATTCATCAATTGGAACTAAAGTGATTTTCACTCTTTAAATGGGGTCTGTGGAGCAGAAAAAGAAGATGTATAACCAACCAAAAACAGAGGAAACCTCAGAAGAAGAGCTTATGTTACTTCAGCCTAGTAGAAGCAGGAGCCTAGTAACTTCTCAGAAAACTCAGTTGGAAATGCCTTGTAATCAAAGGGGTGGGGCTGGGGTACTAGGAAAGTTGAGAGAAGCTCAGGGTCAGGAGATCAGAGCTGGAGAGTGCTGTCCAATGGACCACAACCAGGAGAGCTGAGAGAGCCAGAAGGACACAAGGCAAACTTAGGAATACCTTAGTGAGAAATGGAAAGCTATAATCTTAGTGTTAGCAGGGAAAATATGTTAATAAATTTTACTTTGTATTTTTTTATGGTACAAAAAGTTGAATGGTGGCCAGAGTTCCATCCATCCAGTCAATGTAAGGAGAGGAGAAAAAGAAGGCTAAAAAAAGATCAAGTCATGGAACTTCAAAACCATTAATTTTCTAGTAGAGGGGAAATGACTATGTACAGAGGATGCTAATTGAAAGAGATCCATATAGTTTTCAGTACTGAATTCGTTTTCAACCTTTTTAAAAATTAAGCGCTTGTCACATCAGTAGTTTTTAACACTAAAGCAGCATAATGCTATATAAGAATGGAACCCACATTTAATTATTAAACACTATGTAATGCAGTAGCCACTTTCCAATGTTAACACAAAGCTCCCCAGGGAAGTGTTTTTCTTATGGGAGTTTTAGAGAAGTGGCATCTCCAAAATACACAATAGAATGTATTCTAAAACTCAGGACTTTTGAATTCCAAATCTGGGCATTTTTTATACATGCCATGAAGGCCCTGATAGAAACAAAGGAAAAAAAATAATTCAGGAATGATTTTGGTCCAGATTTGGGACTAAAACGAAAAGTTTCTCTTTACTTACCCAATAAAGGATGATTAAGCCTTTATTGACAGAGTCACAGAGAAGCTGAGAACAGCTTCTAAGTTACACTGTGAAGCATGGACAGATAGTATTTCCTGTGTGCAGAGAATGCAAGAAACATGTTATTTTTGCCAAATTCTGTTAAAACCTGAGTTTAATGAGTCTCACACACCATTTCCACTGGCAAATGAAAGAAAACAACGGGGAATTGTGAGATATAAAGACACCCCCATGGCTTGATGTGACTCTTAACTCTTTGTCTTAGTGGTAGATGGGATGCAGTGTGTGCACAGGTATGGCTATATATGTCAGGTTCCAATTTTCTTGCTACTGCAGGAATCTGTCACCGGATAAATTCAGTTAAAGTTACCTATACTTATCTCTACCGCAAAGCTGAAGAACATCAGACGGATAGTTATATCTAAAAGAACATATTGGATGGTTGGTTTTCCCCCACGCAACCTATCAATCTGTCATTGACAGGATTTTTCTTTGATTTTTTTAACTTTTATTTTAGGTTCATGGGATACATATGCAGGTTTGTTATGTAGGTAAACTCACATCATGGGTTTTTTTTTTTTTTTTTTTTGTACAGATTATTTCATCACCCAGGTACTAAGCCTAGTACCCAGTAGTTATTTTTTCTGCTCCTCTCCCTCCCCACCACTCTTCACCCTCAGGTAGGCCCCAGTTTCTGTTGTTCTCATCTTTGTGTCAATATGTTCTCATCATTTAGCTCCCACTTTTAAGTGAGAACATGCAGTATTTGGTTTTCTGTTCCTGAGTTAGTTTGGATAATGGCCTGAGGATCATGGCCTCCAGCTCCATTCATGTTCCTGCAAAGCACATGATCTCATTCTTTTTTATGGCTACATAGTATTCTGTGTGTATATGTACCAGATTTTCTTTATCTAGTTTACCACTGATGGGCATTTAGGTTGATTTTATTTCTTGGCTAGTGTAAACAGTGCTGCAGTGAACATATATGTACATGTGTCTTTATGAAAGAACGATTTAAATTCCTTTGGACATATACCTAGTAATGGTATTGCCGGGTCAAATGGTAGTTCTGTTTTCAGATTTTTGAAGAATTGCTTTCTACAATGATTAAACCAATTTACACGCCCACCAACGGTGTCTGAGTGTTCCCTTTTCTCCACAAGCTCACCAGCATCTGTGACTTTTTGACTCTTTAATAATAGCCATCATGACTGGTGTGAGATGGTATTTGATTGTGGTTTGATTTGCATTTCTCTGATGATCAGTGATGTTAAACTTTTATTCATATGCTTTTTGACCACATGTATGTCTTCTTTTGAAAAGTGTCTGTTCGTGTCCTTTGCCCACTTTTTAATGGGGTTGTTATTTTCTTATAAATTTGATTAAGTTTCTTACAAGTTCTAGATATTAGACCTTTGTCAGATGCATACTTTGTAAATATTCCATTCTGTAGGTTGCCTATTTACTCTCTTGAGAGTTTCTTTTGCTGTGCTTCTGCATAGCAAAGAGCTTCTGCTCTTTAGTTTAATTAGATCCATTTGTCAATTTTTTGCTTCATTGCAGTTGCTTTTGGCATCTTCATCATGCAATCGTTGCCAGTTCCTATGTCCAGAATGGTATTGCCTAGGTTGCCTTCCAGAGTTTTTATAGTTTTGGGTTTTACATTTAAGACTTTAATCCATTTTGAGTTTATTTTTGTATATGGTGTAAGGAAGGACTCCAGTTTCAGTCTTCACTGCCAGCATTTTTCTTTGAGATTTTAGAATCAGAACATTCTAGAACTGTTTTTACCATCATGACACCAGGACATACTGAGTATCCTGATCAGTTTCAAGGAGTGATGTACATAATAAAGTGCTATCAACTGTATATAATACCTTTTGTTGATAAAGCAGATCCAAGATTATCATTCTCATCTTTTACATTTTGATGTATTTTTATGAAAGGGGAATGTGGGTGAGTGTCAAATCAAAATTTACCCACCACACTTACATCCTCAAAAAAAAAGTGTGTAAGTATCCTCTGTTTTCAACAACAGTATTTTTTCTGCACCTGAATCTTGCTATCACTGGATACCTGGAAGGAAAACATACTAAAAATTTCCAGTCAAAGATATCTTAGTTTCTTCCAGATTAAGAGTCTATTTTAGTTTAAAAGTATTTCTTTAGGGTGAAGATTGAATTTTGCTCTCTCTCAGAGCAATGTTTCCCTTACCCTGTTCTTTCCCCTTGGTCTCTGGCTTATATAATCTGGGGGAGTGTGGTGAGCATGAACAGGCCATGTACCAGGGCTACTGCCAGATGCTGTCTGCAGTAGAGACTTGACTAGGCGAGGGAACCTACAGCTTCAGATGACTGGAGACAGGTCATGTGCTCACTGGCTGTACAGGAGAGGCCAATAAATACTGAACAGACATTCAGAGACCAAACCAGTCCAGGGATCACAGGCCCCACCATAACTTTGAAGTCCGACAGTCTTGGAAAATATCAGAGATGGAGAAATAATAGGGCACAAACATGGAATGTGTGCGTACTACCCAGTTAACTCTTACATGAAGTTTTTAACCTGTGGGCAGTGTTACTCAGAAGAGACTTACAGACATGCTGATGGGAGTGCTTTGAGGATGTGTACATCACTGGATGGAGAAAGATGCTGGGAAGGATGAGCTGACACACTTGTATATCTGGTCTTTCAGTGACAAGTGAGGCTCTGGGTTCCATTCATGTTAAAATGCTATCTCAGAAAATACAGACTTCTACATCTAGAAAGAATGTATTGCTATTGGGCAATACTGACAATGGAAATTTTTTTCTCAAGCCTCAAATCATTAAGGTCTCTAGAATCTCTGTCTTTCCCATTCCAGAGCCAGAGTATGATTATATTATTTTTTGGTTCAACATTAATTTCTATTTTTTATTGCATTTTAGGTTTTGGGGTACATGTGAAGAACATGTAAGATTGTTGTATAGGTACACACATGGCAGTGTGATTTGCTACCTTCCTCCCCTTCACCTATATCTGGCATTTCTCCCCATGCTCTCTCTCCCCACCTCCCCACCCCCCATCCCTCCCCTATTTCTCCCCAACAGACCCCAGTGTGTAGTGCTCCCCGCTGTGTCCATGTATTCTCATTGTTCAACACCCACCTATGAGTGAGAACATGCGGTGTTTGATTTTCTGCTCTTGTGTCGTGTCCTTTGTAGGGACATGGATGAGCCTGGAAACCATCATTCTCAGCAGACTGACTCAACATTAATTTCTTCTCTACTTTTCTGGTCATAACTCTAAAAGAATCACATTAAAGCCCCTCTTTATATAGCCCATTGTTTTTTTTTTTTTCCTACCAGGTTTTAGCATTCATGAGCAATATTAGCTAGGATCTTTGAAAAAGGTCTGAATTGTCCTCGAAAGAACAGGCAGTGAGCTAAGCTTTCTTCTAAGAGCATCCGGGTTTTTATTTATTTATTTTTTTCATCAAACCCTAAGATGTAATTGATGAAGCTTAAAATGTTAATACTTTCAGGAGTATTATTTTTATTTTTACTATTTAACAGTTTACAAAGTCATAAGCTTTTTGAATATAATTAATTACTTGGCTTTATAACTAATAGAAAATCACTTAGTTTTAAGGATCAAGAAAAAGACCAAAGGAATATCTCAGGCCTCCGAGTGTATACAATACTGTGCCTCTTACTTCAGATGGTTTGGGAATTGTGTACATAAATCATTGTTGTTTGACTGAAAGAATATAAAATGAAAACCTAAATTTCACTTTTTTCATGCCTTCTTGATAATTTAAAAATCTTGGTTATATAAAATGGTCATAAAAATTACTAAAATTACTGTCTTGACCATATAAAAATTTCTAAAAGGCACTAAGAAGAAAGGATGGAGTATATTACACCTTTGTTAGACTTGAATATATACAGGACATGGCTGATATCCAAGTTTATAATCAACTTAGATGTGATCCTGGTGGTCAACAGTAATTAGTAAACATATGAAATGGTCTTAAAACCTCCCTAAAGTCTAAACAGGACAGTGCAGCTCTTATCTTAGTCTTCAGAAAAGGTGAGGGAAGGTATTTATTTAAATGCAAATAGGTATTAGTTGTCTTTTTGATTCACATCAGGCAGGAAGATTACAGTAGGATATAGTTTAGGATTCTGATGAAGTTGTCATCCACTTTCAGAAATTTTTTTAAAATAACAATAAAAATAAAATTGTGTTTCATGTTAGTGGACACTTTCTTTTAGTAAGGGTGGAGCGCTTTCATAAATCCCTATGTTTCTAAACTTAGTATACTGCAATTGTGGTACCTTCTTTGTCAAGAATTAGAAAATTGGAAACAGGAGACTAGAAATGATCACTTTGATTTTAAAAGTCATTCTAGGGAAGGCACTGACATTTAATGAACATTTCACAGGGACTATTTCACACATTTTCTTTTTCAATCTTTAAAGCAATAATATTCCAGAATAACAATTATTATCCCCATTTTACACATGATGAAATTGAAGCAATCCTCATACAGATTAAGGGACTTGTTAAAGGACTCTAAATGGTCAAGCTAGGATTCAAACTGAATTATTTAAAAAATGTACTGACAAGGATACTGATTATGGAATACATTAGTGATAAGTTTTAAGAAATCATTCATGTCTAATTTTATGGCTAGGCACTGATGACACCGGGCCTTTAGGAAGGTGTTTTACATTCTGTTTATGGATAATAGATATTCATAAAATGTTAATGATATTTTTAGTGAAAAAGGTAACAAACTTTCAAATATTTTTATATTTGAAAATGTAAAAAGAAATATACATACATATCTGAAAAAAATTCTAAAAATGAATTTTTTTCAGATATGTATGTATATGAGCATTTTTGTTTATTTTTTCAGATATGTATGTATATTTCTTTTATACATATATTTTGTATGTATATTATACATTTATTAGTTGTGTTATAATAGTGGCTTTATTCTTCACTCTTTTATTTTTTTATATTTTTAAATGTGACTATGATACTTTTATAAAAGTATTTAATATATGTTGATTCTCTTCAAGCTCTGACAAAATGATTTTTTTTTTTTGAGGTGGAGTCTTGCTCTGTTGCCCAGGCTGGAGTGCAATGGTGCGATCACGTGATCTTAGCTCACTGCACCCTCTACCTCCCAGGATCAAGTGATTTTCCTGCCTCAGCCTCCCCAGTAACTGGGATTACAGGCACGTGCCACCACACCCCACTGATTTTCGTATTTTTAGTAGAGGCAGGTTTTCACCACGTTGGCTAGGCTGGTCTCAAACTCCTGACCTCAACTGATCTGCCTGCCTCAGCCTCCTAAGTGCTAGAATTATAGGCATGAGCCACTGCACCTAGCTGAAAACATGAATCTTAAAAGAGAATTTGGGAGCCTTAACATTAATTATCTCTTTGTTATATCAGTTTCTTTTCTGTAAGACCATGCTGATGCTGGCTCCTTCTTGGGAAATATGATGAGTAAAGACCCAGCCAGGCTCTGTACCCATGGAGGGCACAGAGCCAAGTGAAAAAATCCACAGCTGCATCCGTAGAATTCTCTTCTGCTTACCAAGGATATCATAGTTGCTTCTTTGGTAATGGATAGTACATTTCCATTTCTCACCATTATCATTTCTAATCTCCCTCATTTCCTTCTCTTATAATCACTCTGTGGTTGGGTTTGATATAAATGATGGATCACTCAAATTAAAGCTAAGGTGTGCTGTTGGAAGGAAAAGTACAGGACTTCCTTCTGGAAGCTATGAAAGCCTTTATAGCCTGTGATGGGGGAGAGGAGCCAGCAGGAGTATCAGTACCTGCTGCAGTGGATTTAGAAGGTCAGCAACTACATCTGTGCTTTAATAATTTACATTTTTCCAAGTGTTCTTCAATTACCTTGGGAGAGAATCTAGAGGCTCTAGAGGATCTGGATACTTAGCTCTGGCTATGAAACAGACATTTTCCTCTCCATTAGTGTCAATAACATGAAAAAATATTATGTAGACTTATGTGGTAGGATGAGAACTAACTAATCAATTCTAATCTCATCTAACCGAAGCTTAATGTTAAACCAGGTTTTTTTCTTTGAGTTGCCAGCCTTCTGTATTCAATCACCAGCCTCCATACCTCATTCATTCACTTAAAAAATTATTAAATGCCAGATATTAGTAAATAACACCAAAGATAGCATATGCAGAAAACAGACAAGATCCTTTCTGTCACAAAACTCATGCTCTGTTGGAAGAAACAAACAATGAATTAGTAATTAAATGATAACATAGCTTTTTGTAACTGTTATACAGTCTAAACAGTATGACTCGTGGTGTGTGTGTGTAAGTTGTATGTGTGTGGGTCTGTAACTACTTTTGATGGAGTGGCCAGGAAAGGCCTCTCGGTGACTCTCAGTGAACTGAGTGAAAAAGGCCTGGTGAAAGAGGGAGTAGCAAGTGCAGACGCCTTGAAGCTTGGTCTAGAAGTTGAGTGGCCTTCATACAAAGGACAGTGACATCAGACCAAAAGGATGAGGCCAAGCCATCCTGAGTTTTAAGGTCTATGGCAAAGAGTTTATGCTTTTGTAAGCCCAATGGGACTCCAACGAAGGCATTTAAACTGAGTGACATGATCTGATTTACATTTTAAAGACATCGTTCTGGATGCTGGTAAATATAAATATAATATAAATATAAATATTCTTTATATTCCCTCTGCTGTGTGCTGTGTGCAGAGGGAATGAATATAAAGAATAAGGATCAAAGCAGTGAGACAAGTTAGGCAATGATATGATATTACTGTTGCCTTTAAACGTAGGAAAGAAGTCAGACCAGAATGGTACATGAAAAAATCAATCTTATTTCCTCTGCTCCCAGGTGAAGTGAAGAACGAGTGCAGAGGCATCACTAGAGAGGTTTTCTGTGAAGGGAAGCAGAGATATGCTTTGAAAGCAGGAGGGGGTGGTAAGGGACAGATAGACCTTTTAAAAGATGAGAGGTGTTAAATCAGGGTCATGCTCCTGTGTTCTAGATCCCAGGGAGATACAGGCAAAAGAAGCAAGAGAAAAAATTGTTGGGTAAAGACATAAAGATCCTTCTTCTGCTTTATCTATCAGGTTCCTTCCCTCTTCTCCCTGCTTCCGCTAAGACCAGCCTCTTTCTGGTGAGAGTCCAGCATCAGCCAGATTTTTTGTATTAACTTTGTTCAGCTTGTTACATCTCCCAGGAATATTTTGAGCCAATTTCATTCATTGCAAAATAAAAGACTGTTTTTTGTGAAAGGAATTTCTGGTATCTGCAAGCACATAGGTTTGTATTTAGAATCTAAGAATGAAGGAGAAGAGGTAACTCCCTTTGGAGATACTGCTCTGTTCTAAATCTACCTGTCTTGCAAAAACTTCAAGGTCTAAAATAGAAGTGTCTTCCTGGGTTAAGCTTCTCAGAGGCACTCTTGTTTTGCCTAAACTCTGTTTAAATCCTGGGTTTCCTCCTCTAGTGGAAAGCCCTTCTTTTCTCCTTTTGTTCCTCCCGAGGTCTTAGCGTCTGCAGGAGGTGGCTAATAACAGAGCTATAAAAAATACTGGGTTTTACAGTGTTCAAAGACAAGCTTATCTGGTCAGAGTCTGTCTTCCCATACTGATCAGAAGAAGGTTGGCTTCATGCTAGTCAGTGTTAAATGTAATACAGAGTATTGGCTTTCCTTGCAATATCAGTCTCCTTCTCATTCCATCCCACCATGTCCAATGCTTGTTGCTGCCCACACCTCTAAACCGTCACCTGCTCTATGCAGTGGTCCCTTTCATTCTATTCTTCATTGATCCCAAACTCAAATGGAAAAAGCTGGGAAAAGAGCATTTGAGACCGAGTACTATCAAGTGCAAAGTGCAAAGTGGTGGAGACTATCCTGGCTTCCTCAAAGATGATCAGTGAGCCAGTGTGAAAGAAGAGGAAGAATGGTAGGGGAGTTCAGCACAATGGACAGGGCCAAGGAATTATTAGCATTTTTCTGAAGCTGCTTCTCTCCTATCTCCCCATCTCAGCAAGTGGTAATTTTAGTCTTCCTGTTTCTCAGATCAAAAAACTTGCAGTCATCCTTTGTACTTCTCTTTCCCTTATATCCCATAGCCAGTGCATCTTCAAATACTAACGACTCTTCTTTAGAAAGTATCTATCCATTTCCCACTCCCTTGAACACTACTATCACCTGGGCCCAAACCATCATCTCTTACCTGGATAACTGTCATAGCCACTTCTTAGATGTTTCTGCTTTTACTAATAATGAGTCCCATTTTTCTTACCCCTACAAGAGTCAGAGAATCCTTTTAAAATTTAACTAAGATCATATCTTGCCTCTCTCAGAATCCTGCAATTGTATCTAACCTCTTTTACACTAAACTGTAAAGTTCTTACCCTGGGCAACATGGCTTTTCATGACCCAGCTTCTGACTGTGAAGAGCCTCTGTCATCATCTTCTGCTTTCCTTCTCTGCCACTTTTCTCTGCCTAAACTGGTCTCCTCACTCTCAGTTGCTCCAAGCCCCACTCATAACTAAGGGCCTCTGCATTTGCTATTTTTCTGTCTGAAACCTTCCTCCCACAGATCCAAATGGACATTTCCTATGTTATGCTATCAGAAAGACCTTCTCTAACCATCTATCTCAGATAGCACCCTTCATCACTCCACCTTCCTTACCTCCGTTTGTTTTCTTTTGTTTTACTGCATTGTGCTTACCAACTATGGGGTTTTTATATATTATTCATTTTCTGTCTTTATTAAAACATAAACTTCTGAGGGCAGGAAGTGTATCTATTGTTTACTCCTGTATTATGCCCAGAATAGCATCTCTACATAGTGGGTGCCCAAAACTATTTGTAAAATAAATGGATAAAATTAATTGAATACAGATGCATACAAATCAATAGATTGGTTAATGAGAAGATATTCTTTGGATTTTTAAATAACTTCTCAGTGAATTAAAAGCAAAGTCGTGAGATGAGAATAAAGGGAAGAAGGACTATTAGAAGTTGGAGGAGGGAAAGTGTAACATGTTCTATTTCAGAGTGAGAAAGCTGAGGACCCTTAAGAGTTGGGGTCACAAATTAAAAATAGGACCAGCCACCATAGCTGTGTGTTTTCTTTCATTCACTTCAGTTCAGGCATAGACATGGACTCAATAAGGGAAGAGTAGCGTTTAAACCGATTAAAAGTTTTCCTGGCAAGTGCAACTGAGGGAGAGAAGAGCAAAGAAGTTGGAGACATATATAAGCAGAACAGGGCTTACACTAAAGGGCCATAGAATCTAAGCCAAGTAGGAGCTGTAAAGATAGGTAGTAGAGATCAGAAAGTGCAATGTTTGAAATCAAGATTTGTGATGTGGTTCATCTGATGGTAACCCTATAGCCTGAAATGTTATCATGGAAATAAGTGGCTAAGGAAGAATTGAGGCAGTGGTAAAAGACCTGAGAGACAAGAATGTTGAATGAACCATCCACGTGAAAGTTGAAGTTATTAAGAATGATTATGGGAATAATGGTTGAGATAGAGACATACATGCTAAAATGTTCAGTATAGAGTGTGTTAGTTAAAGGGAGATGGGAAGATGACTACAGTGAGGAGGAGTTGCAGGATGTATTTACTGATGGAAGACATTTCCATGGAGCTGGGATTTTGGAGGAAGAAGGGAGGAGAAATGATTTGGGCATAGCAATGAGGAAGAAGGGTATCTATCCAACTTCCAGGCCCTGGAGTACATTCCCCACTGGACCAAAAACAAGTCACTCCTTGAGAACACTGACAAATGTGAGATAGTCATAAGATGCCAGGTTTCTGGTAGAACAAGAGGATAATGCTAATGAGAGTTGATTAAAATTCTGTATTTATTGGAGGTACCAGCCTCATGTAGGAAAACCTCCATATTTGTGTCCCACATTTGATTTTTGGGTGTTCAAACAGAAGTTCTTAGCTTTCAAATTCTTGTAGTCTAAAATTGTCATTCTTGAATTTAGCAAAACTCCAGTTGTCAAGATTTTTCACCAAGCATGTTAGTGCCAACGTGTACTTGTTGAATGTCACAAAATAGGATGCTAAATTAAGCAGAAGTTATGCATAGGGAATCATTGGGAAAGCATAAAGACATTTGGTTGCTTATTTATTTATCCATGACTTATATTCTGTTTCCATAAAGGATTTGATGAGCCCAGTTGTATACTTTGCATCATATGTCTGGACATCGTTCATACCAAAAATAAGCCAAAGAAGCCAAAGACAGAATACAGAGACATAACAAGATTTATAGTCTTAATCTCTACAAGGAAAATAAGATAAGGCTGAGCATTTTATGTGGAAATGCTGCTTTACTTGCCTGAATGATTAGAACAAAAAGAGCAGCAGCCTCTAGTCGCACAGGTCACCCCAGTTTTCCAAGAGTATTTGAACTTCCAGAGTCTGGATATAGGCCACATCTAAGATAGCTAAGTGGTTCAAATCTAACAGAAATCTGGTGTTATTTTCTCTTCTGTTCTCCAGTTTATTCACTCCGTCACTCCATTCATAATTTCCACAAAGCAGAAACTGATTTTCCTTTCTTTTTGTTTACAGTATCATTGCTTTCGTCTTCACAATATTTTTAATTGTTTCTCTTTTCCTCATCAACCATCTTAGTCCCAGCACAAGAGTGTATTTGCTGCATATCTTAACGAAGGATCTGTATTTGGTCAATCTCATTCCAGTGATAGAGACTTTTTCTCTGGTGTTACTCTAGAATTATACCTCTTCTCTGCCTATTTTTCTCTTGCCATGTGGACAGACAGGAAAATTGGGATTTCTTTCAGTTTTAAGAAATCTTGAGTGTCATGGAGTCTTGAAACTATAAAAATCTGAATAAGTTTTTAAATTTTAATTTTTTTCTGTGTATAATCTTCAAAAACTATATCAGAAGCCATTAGAATTCTTAAGGCAGTTTAAGTAGACGAGCTAGGACAAGGCATTACAGAAAAACCCCATGTGGCCAAGCCATTTGATGACTATTCACTTCATATTAGTAACAAGAGCAATGACAAATAATTTAAGTGGGGACAAGGTTCTTTCTGATGAGCAATAACGTACCATAAATTAGAGAAGCAAGACTATGAGTCCAGTGCTGTCATTTTAGTTTACCTGGTGTCTTAGTCCATTTTCTGTTGCTAAGAACAGAATACCATAGACTAGATAATAAACAGAAATGTATTTGACTCATAGTTCTGGAAGGTGGGTCATCCCATGGCAGATGGGCAGGATACTGAAGCAAGCGCGTGTCACAGAGAGAAACAGAACTGAACGTGTCCTTTCATTAGGAGACCACTCCCATCACAGTAGCTCACCCCCAGGATAATGGCATCAAATCACTCATGAGGGCAAATACCTCATGATTTAATAATCTCCTAAAGGCTCTCTACCTCTTAATACTAATACAATGTCAATTAAGTTTCCAACACATGAACTTTTGGTGGATGCAGTCAAATCATAGCACCTAGTAACAGATAAAAACTCTAGCATATACTGTGATTGGACAAAACTCTGATGGGCCGCCTCATATTTTTTCCATCTACTTGCTACCAAAGCCAGGGAAAATGAATGCCCTTTAGCCATTTCATTCACGTAAGCCAGCCAAGCACATGCCTGAAATTTCTGGCTTTTATAGCTACTTTGGGTTTGAATGAGATATGACATCTCTTGTAGAGGAATATACCATCGCAAGTGACTACCAATGACACGCCATTTACCTCCCAGAAATATGGAAAAGTTAACCCATGGGCCAAATTTTAGCAATGGGAAACAAAGGAAGGTCCTGGGTAGGTAAAATCCCACTTCTTCCTCCTTCCCATGGACTTCTTCAAGGCATAGTAGCCTGGTACAACATCTCTGGAAAAGTACTATGTGCCTATTGGATGCAGCTGCCCATATGACCTGCTGTATGTCTTTATAGTTCATTAGGATGTTTGGTGCTGACTGCACTGTTTCCGACCTTTCTACATTTCCCTTTTTCCTCACTCTCATTGTGCTGGGTTTGCCAAATAAAGCACCAGTGTTGATCCATGCCTCATATGTTTTTTTTCAAGGGAACTTGGGCTAAAATACATGTCCTAAGTTAAGATTTTAGTAAAATACATTTTTATAATCATAAATTGTTAGTAAGGAAAAACTATTCTTCAAGG